AGATAGGGCAGGCATTTTGAAAGTTGATGTTATATCTGGTATTCCATCAGCTAGATATTATCTACCATCTTGGTCATCAAAAGTGACTTGAATGCTCCAGAAAAACCAAGAACATTAGGTAATCCGATGTTGACGTTTTGAGAAACTGTTTTTTGAAGTCTTCTGATGAATTGTGGAGGTAAAGGCTGTGATAAAGATGATAGTATTTATTAATAAAATAAATCAGGGCTTTACCCAATATAGAGATTATTATAACAGAATATGAAATATAAAATAGGCAAAAAAAACCGTGATTGATTTAAAAGGTTATAAAAACTCACCAATCTTTGTTCACAGCCTAAAAAAGAGATGGTGAACTTCATAGTTGGTACTCTGTGTGTTGTTCCTCTATTACAGAAACGCAGAATTGAGAAGGTTTTTTTTTTTTTTTTTTTTAGAGATTATTATAAACAGAATATGAAATATAAATAGGCCAAAAAAAACGTGATTCGACTTTGAAAGGTTATAAAAACTCACCACTCTTTGTTCGGCCTAAAAAAGCGATGGTGACTTCTAGTTGGTACTCTGTGTGTTGTTCCTCTATTAACAGAAACGCAGAATTGAGAAGGTTTTTTTTTTTTTTTTTTGGCGGAAAAAAGAAGGTTTTTTTTTTTTTTTTTTGGGAAAAAAGAACAGTAAGAAAGATGATTTTAAACTTGAAGTTGAAGAAATGTGGGCTAAAGTAAATGGAAGCTCACGAGATGCAAGTCATTGCTTAATAGTTTCAATGCAATTAATAAGTTTAGGTTCCCAGAGTTTTTGGAGGGACTGTAGCTTTTTTAGGCGCCAAGAATTTTTTTCTTAAGGTTTGGTTAACAACTGGAAGTCTATAAGCTTATTTGCGTATTTAGCATTAGTTGTCATTTGTAGTTTTAGTTGCTATCGTTTGCATATAAATTCTTATTTTCTAAATTATGTCAGTGTCGTTTGGGTATGAAAAAAGATTTTTAAATTATGTAATTTATTGATAAATAAGTTTGTTGCACATATAATATCAGTTTAAAATCTTTTTTTTTATTATTTTTTTCAAAAAATAAATATTGTAATAAAACAAAATAGTTGAATGAAACCTTAAATTGAATGTTCCTTTTACAAAAAGAAACAAACAAAATAGTAGAATAATTGACAACTTAATTGATTCAATCGGCAATTTAATGGATTAAAAAACAATTGAAAAGTGTAATCAGAAATTATTCCATAAACTAATCCTTCAATTTAATCAAATGGAATACTTGTCACAATGACTTAATTTGGTCAATGTTGTTATTTAAGTAATCACACGATCAATTAAATATATAATCATAAATTAGAGTTTCACTATATAGTTATTGCTATGGATGACACATAGTTTATAAGCGAACCCTAAATTATAATATAAATATATCATATGAACGTGATCCTGAAGTCTATATAAATAGAATAGTTGGGACACAAACTTTGATCCTGAAGTCTATATAAATAGATCATATCAACGATTTGAACATATTATCAGTAATTAATTTGTAATTTCGTTGAATATATATATATTTTTAAAACTAATCCTTAAATTATAACTTTGTCAATTTAATCCAGCGGATTACTTGTCACAATGACCTTGCTTGTTCTTGTTATTTAAGTAATCACACAAGCAATTCAATTTATAGTTATTGCTATGGATTATATAGAGTTTATTGGTGAACCCTATTTTAGAGTTGTGTAGTTTTTATTTAAATTAAATTTAGTCAAATGCATTCCATGATTATATAGTTTATAAGGATCATCTATTATTTTTGGTAGAGAATATATATTTATTCAATTATACTTATTTATTAAATTTTTTATACATTAAAAAAATTTTAAAACCTTTCAAATAAAGAAAATAGGGTTTGGTTTAATGGCGAAACTTCCTTCCTTGGTTGATATTTTTGTACATTACAGGCTTGACACGTCAAAAAGTGCACTTTCCTCTCAGTTTGGCACGTGTACGATATATTTTGACACAAAGTCAAGTAAACTTTGTTTTTCATCAATAAATTTGACTTTAAAAAAGAAAAAAAATAAAATAAAATAGTAAATATGCAAGCAGCAACGACATCGTTCTAATAATAATTCAAGCGACATCGTTCTAGTAATAACAGGAACGACATCATTTAGTTTCTATCTTGATTGGGGCTCCCCTTTATCAAGCAAACGCCTTCGTCTTCTAGAAGCACGGGTTCGTCCTTGCCCTGCGCACTCTCGGTGTAGATGCTACATAGTTGGTTCTAATCCTTCAGAGACTACAAATGTAATAGGAGCATCCGTCGACAAAAGGATCACCCCATCCGTCGACAAAGGATCACCTAAGATGATCATCTCATGGCTATTGAGAACGAATCAAATTAGATGGTTTCTATTTCTCTGCAAGCTCATATATAATGTAACTGTTATTCTGTTATATATATATATATATATATATATATATATATATATTTTCTAAGACACTCATCAATGGAGATTATGAGACAGAAAATATATTTCTAAACGACACTCATAATGGAGATTATGGAGACAGAAAGAACTGAATCAGTGGAGAATATGGAGGTAAAAGAACATGAATCAATGGAAGATATGGAGATCAAAGGATCTAAATCACATTTGACCACATTGATGGTAGAATTAGTAACCCAGCATATAGGAAAAGTGCGTCCTCTTTTAGATTAGACATTGGCAGCGTGAAGTTGAGGTATGTAGAAAGATGCAGTATAAGGAAATCAAATTCTGTCTTTTACAGCATCTTATTAATATTTGTTCATCGTCGGCTTTACTGTTTATGTGTCATTACAGTTGCAAATTTCTTAAATTGGCTTCTAAGAGTAGCATTGTTTACAAAAGAATACCCATGGAAGGTTAACCATTTTTTCACATGCAACCATTGTATCGTCTTTGCCTTTATTTTGGGAACCCAGAAACTCTTTACTGGCAAGGAATGGTTAGTTTGAAGTTTTCAGTTTGTAGTATTTTGATGAATTTGTCTCATATGATATATTAGTATTTTAATGCAACAACTATTTTAATATTTTTTTTTGTTTGAAAAAGTTACAATATTTTACAAATTATAGCTTTGAAGTGGGTTTTGACTTTTTTGCAAAAGCTGCTTATGGAGGGCATATTCATGCAACGTATATAACTGGTTTATTGCTATTGTTGAAAGAAAACAAAAGGCAAGAGCATGCAAAAGGAATATCCATGATAGAAAAGATTAAGTGGATGGGAAGATTACAAGAATGTCGGAATTTGTTAAGGAGACGTCTATTTTGGCTTGGGTGGAATAATATTTTATTCAAAGAAAAATCAATTTCTATTAAATGTTCTATATTTAAGGCACATTTAGAAGTCCCATTTGCTTCTGCTTATAATGTCGATCACCCTGAATAATTCATTACGGCCTTAGGTGCTCCTGTCAGCAAGAAGTGGATAACTTTCTAACGTTCTTTCAAGGACACTATCGTCCTAATTAATATATTTAGTGAATACTTTATTGTATTGTAGTAATAGTTTCGACGATAATAGTTATTTGTAATAGTTCTGACGTACTTGCCTTTATTGTAGATGTAGTTTTAATTATAATATATATAATATAATTTTATTTATTATGCATTTTTTTGTGGTTCAAATTTTAAGTTTAATTTGAATTACTTAATTTTAGTTTTTTTTTACCGATAATTTAATTTTATTATTCCTTCAATGTGGCTTTAATTTACATTATAATGTTCGCAATTTTTAATTATATTATGTACCTGTGATTTACGATAAAATCACTAATCACACTAAAGTTGAAATATTATTACTTTATAAATAATCATTTCCATTTCAATAATCATTTCCATTTCAATATAATAACTGTCATGGTTAGAATAAATGTGGTTTTGAAATATATTTATAGTTATAAATAATGAATTTCAAATATATTCATATATGAGCAAAATGATATGGTTATTCTTTAATTTTTAATTTTATATTCATTTCTTTTTTTTCTCCTTATATTCAATTTTATTTTCTCCAACATCACCCTTGTATTAGTATTATTTTTCGATTTTTTTTTGAAGAATATTTTTCTACTATCATTGTTGATTTCCATATGCATATATGATTCTTAATAAATAAGATAGATTGTTGTTACAAAATATGAAACAAAATAAAATTTAAAAATCATAATTATCTATATATCTTACTAAAAATTGATCAAAGAAATAAATTGAAAACTTTTATAATACGGTTGTTGACTTATAACAAAATATAATTATATGTAAGTCATACTAATTATAATAGGGATGATATGTAAGTTATAATAATTATGATTTGGTTCTAGTTATTCACTTGTTAAGGCTTGAAAGCCACGCTTTGAAGACAAATCGTGAAAAAACATGTTTTTAAATAAATTTCGAACTTATTTTTTTTTTGTCTGAGTATAGTTTCTAAAAGAAATTACTAAGAATTTTTATTAAATTAAATTGATTTACTTTTTTCAAAACTAACATTTCTTATCATTATTAACCATTGAAGCTATTAATATTTAAAAAAAATTCAAAAATTTAAAATATATTATTTAATTTTGATTCGAAACTGAAAAAAAACTCCAATCGGATTTAGATAACTTTAAATTATATGATTAAAATTTGTGACCTATATTTAGTTAACCTAAAATGTTTAATAAATAAGGTAAAAAAAAAAATCATAGTTCATATTCCCTAAAACGACGTCATGTTATTAATTAATATTTTAAAATGATGACTTCGTCACAAAACATTAAAAGGTTGATTTTTTACTATGATTCATATGACGACGTTCTTTTATATAATTAAGTACCTATTTTATGGTGTAGATAGTGTTGCATTGAATTACTATCAAAGCAAAGCATTGATCTTCTTTTCGTTTTCAACTACTTCTCAACGAAGGGGAAAAGAACCTTCTCCCAAACTTACCATCTCTTAACATCTTTGACTCTCAATCGAAAGGAAAACTTATGAAATCTACTGTTCTTTAGGGTGCAGCCATGGAGAAACAATGTTTCGCCGTTAACAGAAGGAATTACATGGTTGACCATTACCTCCGATTGGTAAGGTTTTATGATTATATATATTGACCCAATTACTCCGATTGGTAGGTTTTAATGATTATATTATATATATATATATTATACTTATATATATATGAATATGATTACTTCAGACTTTTCAAGTTTATACTCTGTTTGTTTGGTATTTCTTTGATGTTTGAAAAAATTTTTAGTTTTTCAAATTTTTAGTCTGTTTAAAATTTTTTTATTCAGATTTACTATTCCACATGATTTTATTTTGCTATGATTGTCAGCTGCTGAAAGACAGATTCGTGGGACACCTGCAGCCAGGCCAATACATTACATTGCATATGGATGGTCTTGCTGCTATGAAGGTTTTGGTTTCAGAAGGTGAAACAAAGCGAAAATTTTTGGATGAAGGATGGAAAGAAGTGGTAGACTATGTCTTAACCATAGAAGGGGCTCGTTGGCCAAAGTTCTATTACTATCCAGGTGCTAATTACAAGCTTGTTTTTGCGGTTGATGACCTGAATCCATTAACTTTAGGCCGACCTATTCAAAACAATCAGGATAAAGAAGATGGAATACAAGATCTCCCAACTGGCTTTGCAGTTACTGTAAAGGACATGACAATTAAGCATCACACAGTCATGGTTGGTTCTCTAAACTCACTTCTTACTTTCATTACTCTAATGAAGTTTAAATGCCTTGTTGTAAGTAGGTTGAAGTTTAAATAGTTTGAAATTGTATGTTTTAATTTGAACAGACTATTCCTAACCAGTATAAAGACACAGTCACTGTAGAAATTAGTTCTGTGATAAGTTTTTTCTTTTATGGCGGAGTTGAGTGGAAAATGAACACTACAAGAAAAACGCCGTTTTGCGACCGACAAATCGGTCACAAAATGGCTAATATCAGTCGCAAATTTCCTTATGCGACCGATCTGCGACCGACATATGTCGGTCGCAAAATACCTGGTCGCAAATTTTTTTGCGACTGATTATTCCATCGGTCGCAAAAAAATTTATCGGTCGCAATTGTTGGTCGTGGTTTAATTTGAAATTCAGTCGCAAATATGGTCGCAGGAAAACGGTCGCAAATTTTTTAAATTGGTCGCAAAATGTTAATTTAAAATTGTAAATTTCGGTATCAAATCGGTCGCAAATCGGTAATGGCTCGGCAAATCGGTCGAAAATTAAAAAAATAAAAAATTAAATATTATTATAAAACCACAATTTTTTCCGCACCTGTGAAAATTGACATATATACATATATATCCCACAGGAGGCGCAATTCAAATAAACAATCGTAAAATTGTAATTTTCATTGTGCCAACAAATTAAAATACAAACATACAAATAAAAAACTAAAAGGTCCAAATCAAATCTAATGCTGATGTCGGATCTCCCGATGTCAGATCGCCGGGAGGAGTACCTGCTGGAGGTGATGTAGCGCCAGGAGGGGTGACCAAGGTATCGTCTGCAGCATTGGGATGAGGAGCCGGTATTGGCTGCTGCTGAGACGTCAAAACATATCAGTCTGTAGCAGGCGCAGGATCAGAGGAAGAAGTACCAGTACCGGGCTCAACGGACAGCCGCATCACATGCGCTCTAAGCTCTGCAATCTGTCTCTGCTAATCAGCAAGCTGAGCCCGTATATCATCAGTATAGTGCCCGTCAGTGTGCTCCGGCTGTGGTGCTGCGCTGGCTGTAGAAGCGTGAGCTGCTGAGCCGCAGTAAAACTGTGATGCCTGAGACCCGGTGATGCCTGAGAACCATGGCCGTATACCTTCCTCTTCTTCTCGCCCGGCTACAGCTCGAGATACAAGCGTACCCTCTAGGATGTCAACCTTGACTCAGCTTCGGATTTAATCGTCTGAGAAGTAACAATAGCTCGCCGAGCTGTATATAATTCCTCCTGAACAACCAAAAAATTAATTAATCAAATGCAATTGAAAGTTTATTATATCAAACTTTGTACATCTTCGCAATGATTAGAGGGAATCATTATTCATTGTTACTTACATTGCCGCTCAGCGCACGCTGTCGACAAAGGTATTAGATCGTGGTCCTCGTGTGAGTGTATCTAAAACTCATCGGTGTGGGCTCACGACCTAATTCTTTAGCCTGTAATGAATTTTTATGCATGATATATTAATATATATATTGTCCTTTCATTAAACATCAGTTTCTTGCAAAGGGACTAGTTCACTTACTAATAATCGAGCTGTCTCTATAGCAGATATAGATCCGCCTGTGTGTCGCGAAGGTCCTGCTCCATCCCCGCCAGTCTCACTGCGCCTGTTTTGTGCAAACATCTCCCGCTTTCTCTTGAATGCAGGATCCTGGATCCTCCCAAGCCTTTTGCCAGCTCTCCCATATCTCCTGAGACACGCACTGCTGCTTATTACCGCTTCTTCTCATCCTATAGGTGAAGTCAGCGTATTGATCGGTGCATATCTTCTCCCAGGCTACTTTCAGCATAGCCGTAATGGCCTCGTCCCATATGAAATGTTTCTGCTAAAAAATGAAATATAGCGTTTAAATACTAAGGATGTATCTTGAATTGTAAACATTGAATGATGATATAACTTAAACCAAAGAGTACCTGGAATTCCTCCCAATAAAAGTCTCTCACCTCTTGCGGTACGGCATCCCATGTGCATCCTTCTTTATGCAGCTGTAGCTTGATTATCTTCAAAATTTGCCTCGCTGCTCAAGAAGGTGGATATATGCTGAAAAAAAAACAGAAGTGAAATATAATTACACGAAAGCATCACAGTTACGAATAAGTACAAAATATAATTACAAAATATGCCTGCAGCAAAATATGCCTGCAGAAAATTTGAATAAGTACTTACTGTCCCGCTACCAAATTGAGGGTGATACACCCGATGGATCTGCGGAAGCTGGCAAAAAAAAAATGACCCAATATGTTATAATTTTATAAGAATAATTAATATATAATTAAAATGACAGTTATGACATTTATGATTACCTTTGCACAGTAGGTTGACTGTGCAGTGGTTGGAGTCTTACTGGTCCAGAAGAGGAAGGAGCAGAAGAGAAGGAGCATAGGCTGTGATGCGGCAGTACTGGACGCTGAGCAGAGGAATTTGAGCCCCAGAACGTCCTGAAGAAGGATGTTGAGGGATGGCGGCAGTACTGCGTCGCTGGCAGATGACGAAGCCCAGACGTACCTGTACGGCTCAAGACGAGGGATCGACCCTCCTCTCCACGGACTGCGTCCAGTGGCCATAGGACCTCCAACGCCGAACCACTGCCGGAACGGCCGTCAGGAATCAAAAATGTCGTGCCTCTAGCCATCTGTACTGCAGATAGCAGACTAGATAAAAAATGAATTTATACAATTTATATGAATTGATAGAACATTGTGGTAAATGATAGTAACAAAGTGAAAATTACCATTGAAATTTCTTCATTTAATCAATATTAATTAACAAATATTAATTACATATACATTTATCAATTTGTAACAGTAAAATTGCTCTAAGTTTTAAGTGTCTTGAATATCATCTGCTTCCTCCTCGTCTTCATCAGCTTCCTCTTCTTCATATTCATCTTCTGAGGTACCCATGATCTATTGATCTTCTTCCTCTTCATCATCTGATGGTCCTATTTAAACATAAGATCGGCTTTCATCATCTAATCTATCTGTTAAATCTTCAACAACTTGCATCAGTTGCGTTTCAACCCTAACTTCTGGAAATGCCTCCGATACTGCGAGTGAAGAAGATTGTTTCGTTTCAAGTGCATGAACAACTGATCTAGCCTTGATTTTACACACTTAACACCGCCATCAATCGCATTCTATCTCGGTTTAAACGATGGATTGGCGAATGTACACAGGTGCAGTTGCATTGCCCAAAACAAAGGTTCCATTACTTTGTATATCTTTTCTTCTATTGATTATATCAAACCAGTTATATTAGGATGACCTTCGTTGCCAATGTTATGCGTAGGCATCAACCATTACATTTGAATAAGATTTGCACTCGTCATTTGGTAGCCTTGGATATTCTAACTCCAAACCTTCAGAACCCAATTTTCCATAAAACTCGTTTGACATTGTCACTGCTTAGTTTTTGATCCCTTTATTGGCACACATTCGTGTTCATTGTCTTTCTCGCTTCTCCCTTTAACCCCTCAGTGTGAAACTTGTAACCGTTTACAAAGTAGCCAGGTAAGGCATTAGGCAACCGGTAATGGCCCCCCTTTTGCCAGATCCGTAATAAAATCTGTTACGATATTCGCTATTCACGAGGCTTCGAGCCTATGGAAATATGTAATGACATGAGTCAGATTTAAGTAAATGTAATTTTCCGTGTTGTGTACATTGAAAGTAACTTTACATTAATATTTGAACCATTCTGCAGAATTTCGTGTCCAGTTCTGCCATCAACTGCCGAAGTATCGTCAAATTGAAGATTTTGAAAGCCGCAGAGATTGATATATTACCTATTATAACTAACACATATTAGCATAAGTTGATGATATTTAACAACGTCCCACGTCAAGTTTAGAATGTTTCATTATTATACTTACTGTACCATATGGTTGTTGATCTCTTCGCCAATTCAATAAAGTATAGGTTTGGAGCCGCTTGTATCCTCTGCATACAGTCAAATCGTCTTTTTTTTGATTTACCAATCGTTTACGCCCAGGGTAGGTGAAAATTTTTTAGCATTTCCTTCAAACTCAGAATATTGCAACGCGATCTCCTCCGTCATCGTTACGTGACACCTCTCGATGCTTGGTTTGAAAACTGTTGGTTCAACAGTAGTTGCTGTGAGAATGTGGAAGCTATCTTCACCAATATGCCTGCAAATTGGATCCTTAGACCCTTTTGCATCTATTGCGCCATTTCTTTTTATTTCGTGTAGTGTCTGTGATTTTGTACCAATGCCAATATGTTAGTTATAAGTCATAAAAATTGAGTATATCATTTAGAAGTGACGATGTTTAGTGAATCACCTCTCAAATGGTTTCCCTTTCAATGTTAGTGACAGTTGATTGAACAGATTTTCAAACACAATTTTTTTCTATGTGCATGACAATCAAGGTTATGACTGGGATAAGAAGTAGACTCCAGTATGCAAATCCTAGAAGATGCTTCGCTTTTTCACCGCGTATTCCTTGCAATTACTTGTATTTACCTCCATCTGCACCAACCTCTTGTAACTTTCATAAGCCCCCCCGCTATTCCTGCCAATTCTTGTATTTACCTCATCTGCACCAACCTCTGTAACTTTCATAAGCCCCAGATCTTCAATTTCTTGTATTATTTTTAATACCCGACAAAATTGCGACCGATTTGCGACTGCAACAGTCGGTCGCAAAATATCGGTCGCAATTTTATCTCATTTCGGTCTCAGATTGTATCCCTTTTTTGACGCGCCCTTTTTTGCGACAGAAACACAGTTGGTCGCAAAGAGGTCGCAAAATCGGTCGCAAATGAGCAGTAATTCAGTCGCAAACGGAAAGGCAAACTCGCGCGAGTTTTCCGCGCTAAAATCTGCGACTGTTTGCCAATCAGTTGCAAATTGGTATCAATATTGCGACCGATTTGCGTCGGTCGCAAAAATCGGTCGCAATTTGAAGTTTTTTTTGTAGTGGAAGGTCAAAGAAAATGAAGAGAAATTGAAAATTTTTGATGACGTGTGGCCAGAGTTTCTCACCTTTATAAGAAAAATTCCATTTGTCAGGAGAGTTGAATTTAGCGCTATTCCTGGAGGAAACTTCTTTGTCAAATTGGCTGGAAAGCGCAGATAAAAAGTAGTGGTTGTTAACAATGAAATGACTCCTCATATTGCCAACAATGAAGCCCAAGTTCCAGTAGCAGAACAACATTCTAACAATTTTCGTGAAGAGCAAGTGCCCTCAGAACAGGAGCCATCCGACACTTTTCCTCAAGTGCTTAGACAAGAAGAAGAAGCTATTGCTTTTCCCCATTTCGAAATCACATTGAATAAATCTGACTGGATTCATAGATTGGTATGCATAAGTGAATAATTACTTTCATTGTTAACTCTGTTAAACATATATTTATATTATAAACTGTTTTTAATTTTACTTGTGGTCTATATTTGCTTGTAGTATGTCCCTAAGATTTTTGCAGACCAGCACATTCACTTGCATGCTAGCAAAACAAAATTAAGGAGCAAGCTCATTTGTGATAGGAAGGAAGAAAATGTCGATCTTGTTGGGAGATTAAATGGCAGCGCAGTTACAGAGTGAGATTTGAGAAAGGCTGGAATAACTTCTGGAGTCCAGTGGACCTAAGGAAGGGATGCATATTGGTGTTTAAGTTGACCGATTCTGAAAAACAAACTTATAGAATTGAGGTCGAATCATCAAGGAATATAAATGTCAGTAAGAATTATGTGAATGATTAGCACAATGTTACATATTTATGAGTACAATTTATTTTATATTAATGCTTTTGATGTTATAAAACCAGACATGATCTAATTTTTACTGTTTGACAGTTTGTTGCTTGTTGCTTTGCTTTTGATGTTATGGTTTCTTGCTTGTGGCTTTGCTTTTGATGTTATAGTTTGTTGCTTTGCTTATATATATGTATATAGGAAAATTATGAATGTCTCTTAATCTAAATTCTGATATGACCTTTGCATATATATGTTTTCTGTAGATATTTTAATATACTTGCTTATGCTTTCTTCCATGTCTTAATATCCTTGTTTGCAGTATTTTGCTTTGTTATATATATATCTATATATATAAACATTATGAATGCCTTCAAAGTAATTGTGACTTTTTAATAATTTTTGTAATATCTCTTATTATTGGAGTTAGAACTTTGTCTTAGAACATATAGAGCTCTTATAATCTCTGCTCCAGGTGAATGAAAACAGAGTATGAGCTGCAACCTCTTCTTTGTGTGTGTGTTTTGAATTTTTTCTCTCTAACTTTCTGCTTTAAAACCAACACTTTATTATGAAAAGTTTGGTCTTACTTGTGCTTTTAAACAAATTTTCGCCAATGATGATTCTGAATATGGATGAATATAGAAAATCAAATAGGGCAAAAATACTAAAATTAGATATCTTTGGACATAATTGTATATATTAATTTTCAAACTTTATATCTATATTCAAAACAATCTAAGTTAATACATTTTAAACTTTATATCTAAATATAAAACAATCTAAGTTACTTTATTTACTAAATAGTTAGCCAATTTGATGTCAACTTCTTCATCCAGTGATACAATGTTCTCTTGAATGTTGCTATAACGGTTTGAATGCATTCCTCCTGAATTGGAATTCAGAATGCCATTGCCATCAGTTTAATAATTAGTGTGTGTACCGTACTGTGTTCTGGATTGCAATACCTGCATCACAGGAATCATAAATAATCAAAAGTTCATATTTAACCTAGTCTATATAAAACAGAGCAACAGGAGACTGTAAGTAAATCAAAATTAACTATTATACCTCTCCTGGAGCTCTTGACATATTGCCAGTAAATGCTCTATGAACACGATACCCACGCCTTACTCTGCCTGTATTATTGTTGTTTAATTGGTTGTTGTTCAATAACATTATTGCGCCATTTTCTATGCGATTGATACCGATTAATCCTTGGTCTCCCACGACTGCGTGTTGCATGGGGATCAAGCATTGGATTCCGATCGATGTTCTCATTTGTTTCAAACTCTTTTTTGCCTCTTCCAGCTACCTCATCATCATTTTCTGCTGCAACTTCTGCATCATTCAAACTTCTTAATGAATCCTTGAAATTATTTAAGGAAACTTTCAAGTGATTCATCCATGCAATGCTAGTCTCAGCTAACTCATAACATTCGTCGAAGCATTTCTCTAACTCTCTAAACTTTTCATAATCCCTTGTCATGCTGGGGAACCCTCCATCGAAGAAAATTTTGCTATCCCTTCTGTATACATCCTTTCTCCATCTCTTTAGCATATATTTTTGGTCCAATAGCCTGACATCTTTATGAGGTATTACTTTTATTATATGGGCACACAAAAAATACCTTCACTCTTAAATTTCTTGCAGTCACATTTCAAATCACATCCATCTTCCTTGTACTTCACAGTAAATACAAATTCCTAGATAAACCAGTCTGTCAGTAATTTTTTTTCCAGAATTTTTATCATTTCATACCCATTTTCATCAAATTGATTCACTCTTTCCTCTGTTGGAAGTTCCAAACAAGAGCAGCGAATTGTCCTAGAATCTGTTTTTGAAAATTTTCAAACAATACATGAGTGTAAGCCTTTTGAAATTGTTTCTCCCATTCAAAGTCTGTCAAAAGAGCAACTTGGACATTCTTCGATTTGAAATCAGCTCAGACCTCTTTCTCAATCTTATTCCTCAAAGCAATTTCATATTGCTCCAAATTGTTTAAGTGTGCTCATAGAATGTACCTACCCATCAAAATAAGGATGCATGCTCTCGCTTCTCTAGGTAGAGCGCATCCCACCCCAAAATGTGTCATTCAAATACACAGGTACCCATCTCCTTCTTTCCAGATATAACTTAAGCAGCCATTCATTGCTCTCCACTTCGTGCTTTCTGAGAAATTCAACCCATTGTGTTTCAAACATCTCCACAGTTAAGCTATCATAAATCAAGCCCTTGAAATTGTCTTCTGCTTTCTTAAATTTTTCAATGTGCTTGAACTTCTCAGGAAATTTAGAGAGAATGTGCCATAGACAAAATCGATGTCTAGTATTTGGCATCTCTTCTGTGATAGCCTTTTTCATACTTTCACACTGATAGTCATTATTGCTTCACGTGCAATGCCACCCATTGCAGCCAACCAATTTCTAAAATTCCATTTGTTAGCTACAGTATCCTCACGGGGGATCAACGCACAACCTAGTAAAATAGATTGGCCATGGTGATCTACACCAACTATAGTTGCAAACAACATTTTGTATCGATTGACAAGATATGTTGTATCAAAGCATATAACATCATTGAATTCTTCATAAGCAGCTCTAATTCGACAGTGAACCCAAATTACATTTCTCAATCTGCCATCATTGTCTGTATCAACCAAATGAAAAACATTGCGGTCTTTCAGTTGCATACTGCTAAACATTCTAGTAATTGATTCTGCATCGCCATCACCTAGCCTCAGCCTTCTTCTTGCCTCAATATAATTCCTACAATCTTTAACTGAACAAGTCATCTTCTTAGGGCCTCCTGCTTCTACTATCATCAACTTTATACTTTTGCATGATCTAATTCCAGCAATATCATTTGCTTCCAACTTCCTCTTCATCGTTGAATCTAAATTTCTGTGTCCGTGCATGAAACTAGACATGGTTTCCAATTCATGATTATGGTATGTGTTGATCTTTGTGACTTCCCAAAATCCATTTTTCCTCAAAACTGCACTAACCTTAGCAGGGCAGTCTGTTCTTTTAGATTCCTTAAAAGAAGCTGTGGGTTTTCTTCCCTTGTCACACGAAATTGTATAATATCTTTTATTACCTCCCCTGTCTTTTGAGCCAGACTTTCGAGCCACACTGAATCCTCTCGCTTTTGCATGCTTTAGATAACATTTGAAAAGACTTTCTAAATTAGAGGAACAACATTCCGATTCTGGGACCCAATTCATCACTTAATGGTTCGCTAGAAATCACATCATCATTATCATCCGTGCAGTTAAATTCATCTTGGGAAATAGAATTCAGATGAAGGTTTTCATTTCCCTGGATATTATCATCAACTCCATCACCAGAGTTTTAAAAAGATTTATAATATGGAGCATCATATTCATCTACTTCATTTATGTGTTATTCTTTAAATTCAGGATTGTTCCATTCTCCTTTACCTTCATATTCTAACTCAAACCTCTATTCTTCAAATTCATTACCCTCTGCTTCTATTTCGTTAGAGTGAACAATTCCATCAACAGGAGAGCTGCCAAATAAATTTTTAAGTACATGTCTCCTTCACAGAAGACTACTTGATCCATCTTTCGTCAGCCATTGAAATTGAATTAAGAACTAAACGAAATTTAAACAATGAAAAATAAAATGCAGCTTTTTAAGGCTTCTAATTTCAATTTGTCAAACTCTCCAATCTTTTCATGTTTTGCAGATCCAGTTTTCATTGGAAAGAATTAAATTACTCATTAAAATACAGTTTCCATTGCTCAACAATCAAGATGTGCAATTAATTTTTCATTGGAAATAAGACTGATTTTGGGCAGAATATATTTGGTTTGCAAGTTCCCGCCGAAGAACATAAAGGGTGGAAGAAGAAGAATAACATTTTATTCTGTTTTTATTTATTAAAATAAAAATTGACTTCCCTTTTTTACCCCTGTTTGAGCTGGCTCAACCTGTGCCAATTATCATCACCTATTAATTTTATGTGAAACCGAACGGAATTTAGAAATAATTTTAAAGCTGAACCAAAATAAATAAACAAATTAAAAATTTAAAAAAACATTCCAATACATTAAAATGATACATAAATTATTTTCTTTTTATCAAAATAAAACCATATTGAATTATAAAAGTCAAATCGAAATAACTGAATTTAATTTTTGGTTAACCATGTTGACCCCTACAAACGTTCCTTATATTTTAGTACTAAATCTTTGTTCCTCTGTTTCTAACTTCCAAATCCGTTTCTCTATTTCCTCACTCCACACTACAGGCCGCACCTATTTTTACAAAAATAAAACAAAATAAAAAGTACTTCTATTAATAAATCCACTAAAAACGTGCCACGTCATGAATTGTGTACCAAGTGGGCCCATCCTGCCTTATTATATGGAGTAGTATAACCCGAAAATGGGGTCGGCATTATCTGTTCTTCTAGTCCTGCCGAGCCAGGGCATCATACGCAGAGAGACAGAGACCGGAGCGAGAGCGAAACGTTTCTCTCCCAGAACTTCCTGTGAAAAATAATTATTATACGCCATACTTCTCTGTCTGTCGCATTGATACTCGATAACCTTTTCGTGAAATCAGATCCAGTAAGTTCTCTTATTTTGTTTCAGTTTCCTTTTCCTTATTGATTCTTCTTTCCTTTTTCGCTTTGTTTGGATGCTGAGAAAACTGGAGAAAACTGCTGGAAAACCTTATTTGTGTTTCAGCAATATCTGTTAACGAGACCTAGAAGTTATTAGTTGACTGACCTAAAGAATTTCCTGAAATAGGGAATACTAAATAATCAATTATTGGATACCAAAATGAAAGGTTTTGTTATAAAATCTTATCATCTAGTAAACAATTATTTGCTCTAGGGTTTGGATCGTAAAGAAGAATGTTAGAGGGGAAAAGTTGGGACGAGAAGAACGTGATATTACTACTTTGGTCCTATTATAAGTTGTTTTTACCATTATGATAGATAGTTTTTCCTTATTTGCATTGTGGAAATGATTTAAATTTTTTTTTTTTTTCAGTTGAACAGTGTGTAGGAAATGATTGACATTATTTCTCTTTCCGATTGTAAAATCATCATATCCTAGATCAACTTGCACACTTTGGTAGATTGTGCTTGCCTGAGATTACGTGGAGTGTGAATGTTCTTGTATGTTGAATGAAAACAGGATTAGGAACCCATCTTCTAGAAATGTGGTACAGTGATAAGATAGGCTTATTTGAATTGCTTGTTCAAAATATAAAATACTTCTTAGGAATAGGGACGCATAGGTAAGGGAATCTATGCAAAATATCATGTTGGAAATAAAATAAGAACCACAAACAAGGACTTTCGGTATAATTTCATATATTCATTTCTTTTGCACATGAATTTCATTCAGATGATTCTTTTGTAAATGAGTCTTCACATTTGAATGGAATTCATTAAAAATATGTAAGTTTTACTGTCTTGTACTAATTTGCTAGCTGTAGGATCTTGCACGCTTGTTAAGTTTAAAGTTCATTTGCAAGTCCTATCAACTTTTTAGAATTTAATCCAATTATAACCAATATCTTAAACTTAAAAATGTAGAATTCTAGATGAATTTTCATTTATATCAAACATGAACTTAAAATTCTATGGAATTGATTTATACCAAAAAGCTCATAATTTCCTATTGCTGCATAATAAATCATCCATTACAATTGCTACATTAAATACTTAATGCTAGCAATGGTATCCAAATTCTGAAATTCACATCAACATTTAAATTATCTGAGATTTGTCACTGAGATTGGTTGACAAGTTTGATTTATGGGTTTTTGCACTTGGGATCCAATATTTGGATCATAGGATCCAGTTTAAAATTTGCCGAACGTGCATAAATTTATTGTTACATTGAACTTGACAAAATATGCTCAGAAAAATAATTTTTTCCCTTCCATCAAAACTAATTAGTGTTTATATAGTAGCATGTTAACAATTCATCAACACCTCTTGATATTGTTTGTATCATTGTATGTGTGACAGGTTTTGCTGAACAAGTTATTTGTGGTGGTGAATGGTGTAACATGGTGATGTCTTCTGTTACTTAACAATGAATTTCAGGTTTCTGGATCACATACCATGGTTAAATATGCATTCAAACAAGAATTTGGACACAAGCCTTCCACCCACCAATACTGTTTTATCTGTGGGTACTACCTTTGAACAATCGAAGCAAAAAACTCAGTTTGATATCAAGTTGTGGGGATGGTCCTTGCTTTCATTTGTTCCTTGGGCTATCAATGCTAAAGATAGAATTCAAACACCAACCACTATAAACAAAGGTTTGAAAAGGCGTGCTCGATCTCATGGTGTTATCGAAAATAGTGGAGCTGGTGGTAACCCTTTGCGCTTTAGACCATATGTATCCAAGGTTCCGTGGCATACTGGTCCAAGAGGATTTCTTTCTCAGCTATTTCCACGCTATGGGCATTATTGTGGGCCCAATTGGTCGAGTGGGAAAGATGGGGGTTCTCTTCTTTGGGATAGGAGACCAATTGATTGGTTAGATTATTGCTGCTACTGTCATGATATCGGCTATGATACTCATGATCAAGCCAAGCTGTTGAAGGCAGACTTAGAATTTCTTGAGTGCTTGGAGAGGCCACGTATGACTATGAAAGGAGATCCCCATGTTGCTCGGATATATAAGACAATGTGCATCACAGGTACACCTAGCATCACATGCAGATTTTTTTTTTTTAAACCATTGTTTTTTTTTTTCTAAATATATGAATTAAAAGAAGGTTGAAAAGTAAAATTTTTAAAAATTTTGGGAGGTCTTGGCCCGTGCAATGCTACATGCAGTACTGCCTCTGATTACAATGGGGAACAAAATGAAAATTTCTCTTTTTTTTATTTTTTATTTATTTATTAATCTGGTAGCAGGGAAACGGGGTTTGTTTTTATGACTTTCAGCTTTTTCTAATTGCTCTATTGTTTTTTCTCTAAATCATTGTAGGTCTTAAGAATATCCTGATACCATACAGAATCCACCTGTTGAAGTTACAGTCTGGGAGATCCTTACTCAATTTTGGGTGGCTAAGCAATGTGAAATGGAGAGGTAGGAATTGGCAGAAAAAGGAAAAATAATTACAGCTGTGATCATCAGACAACAAGGTTGGAATTACATCGGTACTTATCTTGTACTTGTATTTAAATTTATGTTGGACCTTGTTTGTGCTAGTGCTTCAAGGTACAGAGGGATCACGGCTGTATAGGAAATTTGAGATGGCTAAAACTCGTTTGCCTTTCTCAAGAATGCATATAATGTAAATAACTGCTTTTGGCATCTCTTTTTTTTTTTTTTTATATGGTTGCAAAAATATAGTAAAATCCATCATGCAATTGGTAGATACTTGTGTACTTGTTTTATTGTATACATATATGAGACGTTGATTAGGTATTACCTTGAGTTTACCCATATTTCTCACATCCATTTTATCTGGAATTTTATGTTTTCAATTATTGTGTAACTCATTTTTTGCAACACAATACTACCTGGACTGAGGCTTGGATTAACAAATTATTGCATGCTATTCTATTGCATCATTATAGCAGACAACTGCGCATCTCATTTCGGCAGTTTTAAGATATGAACCATTTAACTTTATGTGCCTCCTTTTGTGTTCCTTTTGGTGTTATGCAGAGAGTGGCAATGCTCACTTTTTATTGACTTATTTCTTTTCTTGCTTCGCAAATCACATTGCGTTTTATTGATTGTACTTGATTTTGAGTCTATACAATCTGATTAGGGTTGTATTCGGCAATAGTTTTTAACATTTTAACTTTCAGAGGTTAATGTAGCGTTTTATAAAAAGTTAATCCATCTAACGTTTAGATGTTAGCTTTTAGCTTTCTATTAAAAGCTATTTAAATAGCTAACAGCTAAATGCTACTAAAACAGCTAATAGCTATCAAAACAGTTAATTTTATTGAATAGACCTTAGGCTTTTTTTTATATTTATCACAGTGTTTTTAGTTGGATGTCTGATCACTATTAGAATGCTTCATTGTAATCTCTATGGTGGTATATGATCTTGATTCTGAAGAGCTGTTTATATTAATTTCTTTATGTTATTGCAGTAATAAAGTTTTATTAACACTTACTATTCTCCCATCGAGTGCATAGTCTTCTTCAATGTTTGGTTTGTTCTATCACATGGAATATATTTCATTTGTGTGGTGGTCATCATTGCATATTGCCAATCCATTCGTTTTAATACTAGATTTTTAACCTGGTTTTGGATTTATTCTTTTGCATATATTCTTTTTTTATTTTTTGGAGTATCCGGACTTGGGATCAATTATCAGGTTATTTTATTGTTTTTTTCCTACCAGTTGGATATTTTTTATTATAATTATACTTATGTTTTGTTTAGTGAGTTGTAATAAAATGTAATGCAACGGAATTAAATGTATTTCTAATATTAGTATTAATGTAATAATTAAACTTGATTAGTGTATTATATTGCTATTTAGTATTAAACATATGTAATTTGTACAATTAAACTGGTAAAGTATGCTTTTCAATATCCGAAGATCTGATTAGGTAATCAGGTGCTATGAAATTGAAAGAATTGAGTTAAATTATAATTTGACATTCTGAGAACACTTCAGATTTAAAATTTTGAATTCACATTGTCGCTTTCTTTTCAACTTTTTTATTATAAAATAAATTATACACATTCTTTTGACTTTCAAGTGCATTACAAATAAATAAATAATACTGATAAGGTGTTGATTGAAATAGTTAGAGACCTTGTTAGGAGAGCCAAACACCTTTAAATTTTATAGCGTGAGGGAGATTAAACTTCATGATTGTATCAAATAATAAAATATACTCTTTTTTCTATTCATTAAAACTATTCATAATTATTTCATAAAAATAAATTAACTGAAAATTTTGTAATGCCTCAATATCCATATAAATGATGATAGCTATGTTTTCAAATTAATATATTATTTTTTTATTATTTAATACAATTATTCATAATTATTGTCGTTATAAACAAGTATCTTTAATTATACTCTTATTATTAGTTCATCTTTCCTACAGAGGATGATAAAAAGTTATGCTTCTCAAATTAATATGTTAATTTTACAATTATTTATAAGTGTTGTGATTTGAAAAAATATATAGCTAACAAAATTCTTTCTCCTGTAAAAAGATTATTAGAAACAAGAAATTACATTTTCTATTCATAAACTCAATAAATTTCATTCAAAGCAATGCTGGAAATATTTACGTACATTTTCACTATTATAAAGTGAATCCACTGTAATTAGTTTTTTTACAGTGTGTGAAAAGATGATATTGATTTTAATAAATGAAATACATTCGAGTTTGGCTCCATCAGATGTGTTATTGTCGGATTCGCATATTCTTGCAAAATGAAAAAAGAAATTCACCCTCATGCAATGGATTTTCTATGTGACCCACAGTGGAAGATTGACCAACATTGATACGTGAACAAAACTCAATTAATTGAATTATGCTAGTATAATTATATATAAGCTAGAGTACTGCCATTTGACCGACGGTGATCCAGGATCACGGTATTTTAATGGCAAATATCATCTTTGTTGGTTTTGAATACCATGAGTTGTATGCTCGGTGACTATCACCTGAGCCAATAAGAGTGAATTGAGCTTGTAATGACAGAGGAGGGTTTTGGGTTTATGCATGACGTATTCAAGTAGTTGATGAAGCAAACAGACTGTATGCTCATCCATGATCGTGCCATGTGGGAAATGTATATCCATTAATCATATCAGTATTGAGGCTCAATTTTAGATCAATTTGGCACATAAAATTGTCCTTATCTCATTGCATAAAGTTACAGCTACATCTCTTGAAGCTAAAATTGATGCAAGTGTTGTTGACAGTTTTTGAAGGTATTTTGTTAAAATCATTTAGATTTTGTTGTACTTTTAAAATTGATGCAAGTGTTGTTGACAGTTTTTGAAGGTATTTTGTTAAAATCATTTAGATTTTGTTGTACTTTGTGGAAGTCAAGAAGTATGTTTTAGGTAGATTTGGTGAACAAACTTTCTTGACTTATAGAAGTTTGGTGAACAAACTTCCTTGACTTATAGAAAGTTGGTGAACAAACTTTAGAATAAGTTTAGTATAAATATTTACATTATGCTGTAATGTAATTAATGAGATGTGAATATTTGTATCTCCACACTTACATCTCCACACTTACAAAATCTGCAGATTTTCCTTCTCTGCAGAATTTTCCTTCTCTTCCTTAATTTTCTGCTCTTCTAAACCAACAAGTGGCATCAGAACAACCTTGATCTCAAAGGGTTCTGTGTGTGTTTGAGTGAAAATCATAGAGAAAGACACCAAATAAACCAGAATTTGTGAAGTTTTCTATTTATTTACTTTTTCTCAAATGGCTTCCAGCAGCATGTCTTTTTCACCACCTCATTTTAATGGGGAAAACTATCATGTTTGGGCTGTGAAGATGAGATTGGGCTGTGAAGATGAGAGCTTATTTCAAGGGGCTTGGATTATGGCAGTGTGTGGAGGAAAACAGAGTACCTCCACCTCTTAATCAAAATCCAACCCTTCAGCAGATTAGACAACATGAAGAAGAGGTAGGTTGCTAAGGCTCCAAAAGCTCTGTCCTATATCCATGCAGCTGTTGTAGATCTTATCTTCACCAAGATTATGACATGTGAGACAACACATGAAGCTTGGGAGAAGTTGAAAATTGAGTATCATGGATATGAAAAAACTAGACAGATGCAGGTATTTAATTTAAGAAAAGAATTTGAAATGTTGAAAATGAAGGAAAATGAAAAGGTGAAGGAAAGATTATGTTGATAAAGTTATGAAAATTTGTAAACAATTCGAATTGTTGGAGAGAAAGTTAGAAGAGAAGAGAATTGTGGAAGAAAGTTTATGGTGACTCTCCCTGAAAAATTTTGAAGCCAAGATTATCTTCTCTTGAAGATACTTGGGACATTGTTCACAAATGTATGAAGATACTTGGGACATGTCACAAATATCGTTGAATGAGCTTTCAAATGCTCTACAAGCTGTAGAACAAACAAAAGCTTACAGGGAAGAAGAAACCATTGGAGAGAAGGCTCTTATGGCAACTCATAAAATAAAAATCCAAGAAGGAGGTTCAAGCAGCTAGCAAACTGACAGAAAATTGAAAATTAAGAAGAATTTCAGAAAAAAAATGGAGGAAGGACAGATTTCCACCTTGTCCACCTTGTAAAAAACAAACCATACCAAGAACTACTGCTGGTTCAGACCTGGAGCTTAATGTAAGGTTTGTAAGCAATTTGGTCACATTGAGAAAGTTTGTTCTACAAATCAGAATCAACAAACACAAGCTTATCTTGCACAAGTCATCAAAAATTCTAAAAAGCATGAAGACAACTATTTGCTGCTACTGAAATTGAACAATATGGTGTCTCAATTGAAGCTAAAGAAGCGTGGCTTGTTGATAGTGGCTGCACTAACCACATGACACCAAACTTGGTGAATTTCGATAGCTTGGATACAAACTATTCTTCAAAAGTCAAACTTGGAGATGGTAGGCTTGTTGATGTCAAAGGCAAAGGAGACTTGTGATTGTACAACTTTCTTTAGGTTACAAAGCTTGTTTTCGATGTTCTTTACGTTACCAGAACTAAATTCAAAGCTATTTTCGGTTGGTCAATTTGCTGGGATAAGAATTTACCAAAGTTTGCTATTTAAAGAAAAACTTGCTATTTAAAGATAAAACTTGTGAAATAAATGATCCTTCTGGCTCAAAGTTATTTGCTGTCAAAATGAAATGGAGAAGCTTTCCTCTAAATTTAAAAGACTTCGAAGAAGAATCTTGCTTGAGTCATAAAGAAGAATCTGATTTGTGGCATAAGAGACTTGGTCACACCAATCTCATTTCATTAAAATTGCTACAATCCAAGAAGTTAGTTGCTGATTTGCCATCTGTAGTTGAAGACAGCAGTATATGTGAAATATGTCAGTTAGGCAAACTCAGCCAAACAACATTCTCAACTGGTCAAGCATGGAGAGCTTCTATGAAACTTGAATTAATACACACTGGCCCTATGATTGTCTCATCTTACATGACAGCAGGTATTTTCTATTATTTTATTGATGAACTACACCAAGATTCTGCTGGGTATATTCCTCCAATTCAATCTGAAGTTTTCCAAAAAGTTTCTTGAAGTTTAAATCAATGGTAGAGAATCAACTGGCTCCCAATCAAAGATTTTTAAGATCTGATTAATGGGACTGAATTTACATTCCAATCAATCACAGCAAATTTGCAAGAAGCGGGCATTCACCATCAATTAACAGTAAGCTTACACACCTCAACAAAATGGTGGTAGTGAAGAAAGAATCGATCTGGGATGAAATATGGCAAGATGTCTTTGTTTGAGAAAAATCTACCCAAAGTTCTTTGGGGCTCAAAGTTATTTGCTGTCAAAATGAAACAGAGAAGCTTTCCTCTACATTTAAGAAACTTCGAAGAAGAATCTTGCTTGAGTCAAAAAGAAAAATCTTGCTTGAGTCATAAAGAAGAATCTGATTTGTGGCATAAGAGACTTGGTCACACCAATCTCAATTCATTAAAATTGCTACAATCCAAGAAGTTAGATGCTAATTTGCCATCTGTAGTTGAAAACAATAATGAATCCAAAGCCTACAGAATTTTGAATCATGTTCCTAAATAGGTGTATGTCGGCAAGAGTGACAAATTCGATGAGAAAATTCGATGAGAAAGGTGAATGGGATTGGAGTAAAATGGAGCCAGGAAATTCTAAATCAGTTCTTGAACAAGATCATTTTCAGCAAGAGCATGAACTTCTAGTTGACAATGAAGATGAATTAGATGAAGATGATTATGCAATTAGAGGAACCAAATCCCTAGAGGAAATTTACAACAGATGTAATATTGTCTCACTTGAACCAACTCAGGTGGATGAAGCCTTAAAATTGCCTGAGTGGAGAGCTGCCATGGAGGAGGAGTTGAAGATGATTATAAAGAATGAAACATGGATTTTAGTTCCTAGACAATTGAATATTATTGGAACTAAATGGGTATTCAAATTAAAATTAAATTCTGATGGCTCCGTCAATAAGCACAAAACAAGATATGTTATTAAAGGCTACGCTCAACAAGCTCAACAACAAGGGGTTGATTTTTCAGAAACCTTCGCACCAGTTGCAAGAATTTGACCACTATCAGATTGATTTTGGCTACTAGCACAAAGTGAAGGTTGCAAGTCTTTCAATTGGATTGAAATCAGCTTTCTTAAATGGTTCAAGGAAGAAGTGTATATTGAGCAGCCTGAAGGTTTTAATGATGGAAGCAATAGAGTGTGTTTGTTGAAGAAAGCACTCTATGGTTTAAAACAAGCCCCAAGGGCCTGGTATGCCAAGATTGATGATTACTTGCTGAATTTAGGCTTTAAACGCAGCTTGAATGATGCAACACTTTATGTAACTCAACAAGGAATTGATGTGCTTATCGTTTCTGTGTACGTTGACGATCTACTTGTCACAGGCAACAATTTACAATTAATTCAAGAATTCAGATTGAAGATGCAGCAGGTTTTTGAGATGAATGATCTTGGCTTAATGTGTTATTTCCTTAGGATTGAAATTGTTCAAGATGAGCAAGGGGTTTTTATTTCACAAAAGAAATTTGCTTGGGAGCTGCTTAAAAGGTTTGAACTTAGCAAATGCAAACCAGTGAGTATACCTACAACCCATGGAATAAAATTGCAAAAGGATGATGGTTCTCACTCGAATAAAATTGCAAAAGGATGATGGTTCTCACTCTATAGATGCTTCAACTTATAGGAGCATGGTTGGTTCTTTGCTGTATTTATTTGTAACAAGACCAGATATCATGTTTGCAACAAATTTACTGTCGAGATTCATGAATTCTCCAACTGAAAACTATCTTACAGCAGCCAAACGAGTTCTGAGATATGTGCAAGGGACTGGTGAATTTGGTTTGTTTTATAGAAGATTAAATGGTGTGAAGTTGTTGGGGTTCTCAGATAGTGATTGGGCTGGTTTATTGGACGATATGAAGAGCACTACTGGTTTTTGTTTTTCACTTGGTTCTACTGTCATTTGTTGGGGAACAAGAAAGCAAGCTTCAGTCACTCAATCAACTGCAGAGGCAGAGTATATTGCAGCATCTGCTGCTGTAAACCAAGCTATTTGGTTGAGAAAAGTGTTAGTCGATTTGAATTTTCAGCAAGAAAATCCAACTAAAGAAAATCCAACTAAAATACTTTGTGACAACAAATCAGCTGTTGCTATAGTTAAAAATCCAATCTTCCATGGAAAAACCAAGCATATAAAAATCAAGCATCATGAAATTCGTGAAGCTGAAAAGGAAAATGAAATTCAGATTGTTCATTGCAGTTCTGAAGACCAAACAGCAGATATTTTCACCAAGGCATTGCAAAAACCAAGATTTGAATTTCTTAGGAATCGACTTGGTGTTTGTCTCAACTCTTGCATTAAGGAGGAATGTTAAAGTTACAGCTACATCTCTTGAAGCTAAAATTGATGCAAGTGTTGTTGACAGTTTTTGAAGGTATTTTGTTAAAATCATTTAGATTTTGTTGTACTTTTTTGTTGTACTTTGTCGAAGTCAAGAAGTAAGGTGAAACTACCTTGCTCTTTAGGTAGAAATTTGGTGAACAAACTTCCTTGACTTATAGAAGAGATTTGGTGAACAAACTTCCTTGACTTATAGAAGTTTGGTGAACAAACTTCCTTGACTTATGGAAGGTTGGTGAACAAACTTTAGAATAAGTTTAGTAGAAATATTTACATTATGCTGTAATGGAATTAATGAGATGTGAATATTTATTTTTCCACACTTACAAAATCTGCAGATTTTTCTTCTCTGCAGAATTTTCCTTCTCTTCTGCTCTTCTAAACTAACAAATTTGGCACATAAAATTGTCCCTATCTCATTGCATAAAACACAAAAATGTTCCAACGGGCTAACTGAATAACAAAAAAAACCCACTTTCTAAAAAAACTGGGCTTTAAAAGTGAGAGGCAGCCGCTGAAGAAAATTCATTTACTTGAATTATCAAGCAGCAAGAAGCATGGTCATGTAAAGATTAGGGGATTTGATGACTACCAGATTAGGTTGATTAAGTGCACTTTAAAGGTAAGTAAATTGATAGACGTGTTTAATCATGCTAATTTTACTACCACTCCAAAGTAGAGATTTGAGTATGTCAGTTTCATACTCTAACAAATCGCAATGTGCCATCATATTGAGGAAATGCGGAACTTAGCTACTAAGGATGCTGGAAGCGTTTACGATACCATGTTATTTCCTACGATAAAAGAAGGAAAGCTAAATGTGAAAAGATAAGCAAAAGGATTGATTCCCTTGTTAATCTTCATGCTACTTTACAAAATAATGGAATGTGGCGGGTGAAAAAGGTCATGACAACACAACCATGAGTTGGATACTTCCATGTACAAATTTATTCCAGCTCATAGGAAAGTTACCCTTAGCATGAAGAGATTATTAGAAGCCAATGACATATGTGGTATTAGGTCATGTAAGAGCATAAGATGCTTATCATACAAGCTAGATGGGGATGTTGATGCAATCATTCGGCTGTTTGACAAAATGCAACTTCTGGATCGAAACTTTTCAATAGACTTTCAAATGTGTTATAGATTCATCCACAGGGCAGGGCAACTTACCAAGAGTTTCACGATGTTATTTATGACACTACTTATCTTGTCAATCGATATTGAGGCATTTGCCATTGTCGTGGGGATTAATCATCACGAGATTTGCATTCTCCTCGGTTGTGCACTAATATCACATGAGGATGTTGATACTTTCAAATGGTTATTTAGGACTTGCCTTGCAACGATGGGAGACATTCATCCTACATCCATCATGACAGACTAATACAAAAGCATGAAGAAAGCGATTAAGGAAATAATGTCTGACACTACTCACACGTAAAAACCATATGTTATATTACCTTGAATGGAGATTCAAATTTTTTTTATACTTCTTTACTTGTACTGATAGAGTGTAATATTTCCTTTTACAACCTTAAATACTAACTTGAGCAAATATGCATATATGTAGGTTTTGTATTTGGCATGTATTATTTAAGGTACTTGAGAAATTCAATCGGCTTGAAGACTACAAGATAACAAAGAATGAGATTAGAGCTATTATTCAAGACAACTTAAGAATTGAGACATTCGAGACCAATTGGGCGAATTTTTTGACTAAATGGAAAATGGAAAACAATGAATGGTTAGCAAAGCTTTACATGAAAAGGGATAAATGAGTTCCGATCTACCTAAATAGATGGTTTTAGGGAGATATATTATCGACACAAAGAAACGAGAGCATGCACTCGTACTGTGATGGATATGCGCACTTCAGGAGTGATCTGAAGCAATTTGTTGAGCAATACGGGATTGTAGGAGATAAGGCGGAAAAGGAATTTTTGAAGAGCGTAATCGAGATATAAGGTCATTAAGTGTTGTTCTGCTTATCTATTTGAGAGACAATTTCAAAAGGTTTTCACTCATGAGATGTTCAAGAAAACACAAGCACAAATTGTTCATACTGTCACCTGTACCCTCATTTGTCCTAGCAGGGAAGAAGACCTACGAAACCGGACTGAACCTACTTGCAAATTGAAAGAAAGATCTACATAACTATTTATAGGAGATATTGTGTATGAAGTAGAGCACATGAAAAATGACTAATATTACAACTACAACTGCAAGATGTTCAAAAGTTAAGGGATTCTATGCTGTCATACCTTCAAAGCCCTGATGGATTATGATATTATATATGTTAATGAGAGGTATCTGCTACATATATATTATCTATGAAGTTTCAACAAAATAAGTTTGTTGCACGACCACACACACAAGTATACCAAAAAACACCTAGAGTGATATTATTATTAATTTAAAGTTACAAAATTAACATTTAGAGCATTTCTAGTGCTTTTAGGTCAAGATTTTGTTGATGGCCAAGGCATTGTCACACAAAAAGAGGAACATTGCATTCCTGGCCAACATTATAGAATCTGGGCTCCCACTTTCCTTCAACTTGCCCTCGCAGGATTCAATATTGGTAATCGCTGCATTCACCCACGTGAACACTGTATGTCTATTATCTGTTGACAAAGCAGTTATAGAGTTTTCTAGTTCCTGGGAAGCATTTGAATACTGGTCTGCACAATGACTTAGCGCCTGTTGAATCGCAGGGTCCAATGTTTGGTTTCCAAGAACGTGCTGCATATACAAAGACGTGTATGTTGCGTTCTGAGCAGCTAGCTTTAAAGCTAGTACCCCGAGTTGCTCTAGACTCGCTCCCTCACTTAGGCTTTAAAGCTAGTACCCTCCGAGTTGTCTAGACTCGCTCCCTCACTCTCTGGGTTTTTTCTGAGCAGCTAGCTTTAAAGCTAGTACCCCGAGTTGCTCTAGACTCGCTCCCTCACTCTCTGGGTTTGAGTTAAAGCTTTCTATACATTTTGCTTTGTCGTGGGAGTGTTCGCATACTTGTTCCACCAGACTACTGCCTGCAATTTGATGGGGAAAGAGAGTGATGAGGCTAAGGACTAGAGAAGAGAGGAAGAAACAATTTCTAATTGTAATTGTCTTCATTTTCCCTTTCTTCTCTGGCCTCTTAGTTTAGGTTGAGGAAGTGAGTAGTGATTAACGATTAATTTGCATATTCTTAAATAAGAAATTCAAATGTTAATTTGTCTAACATTAGATTAAATTTAGTGGATATTATTATTCGTTAAAAAATTGACCATAAATTTTTTTTTTATATATATATATATATGCACTTTACCACTAAGATTGAGCATTTTTAGTACTTTTTATAGAAAATTTCTTCAATCAATTAAATAACACTTGGTGCATAGAACGATTCCATTGTGGTTGCAACTAAAAATTTATTTATTTTTATGAATTATAGAAATTGGAGCAATTCTTGTCACAGAAATTGTTATTTTTGTTCTTGAAATTTGAAATTGCATAGCGGGCCACTGTTAGTGCCTAAACCCAATTTCTATGTATGCATCAAGCCTGTGAGTGATGTTTTTGGACTCCCCATGGCAAATTCAGCAATAGGCCAACTAGAGATAATTACTTGGCACTTCACAGACTTTTTTTTTGTTTTTTTTTAAGATTAATTGGTGTTTAATTTGAGGGTTTGAATTCACAAGCTAACAATTTCTATCTATTTATTTTTTTTCCAAAAACATTTTTGACATAACTTTCGTAAGCCATAGTGTAAAAGGAGTGAAAAGATTTTGATACCATGGCTAAATCTTTTAGCAGTTTTAGTATGATTGATATCGTGCTTGTAACTGTAAATGTAGACATATTGTACTGGTTAAAATATGACATTAGGGTCGATCTTTTGTAGCTCAAAAATAATAATGGTTATACATTCTCAAGTCTACTGAAACGAGCCAATAATTTACGACACTTGCATTTGCTACCTACAAACTCATCGACCTTTTTTACTTACACAACCGGACCAACCGGTGACCTAGAGTTAGAACTTTCAAGTCTGGGTCGACCAAGCCCATGTCCACCAAACGGTCCAACCTTTTAAGGCCTTTGCTCCTCTGTGGCTGTGGGTACCTCCACGAGTATCGTGACCAGGTCTAATGACTTTCTCTGGCATTCTAGAGCAGATAAAGATAAACTGACCGGCGATGATGAAGCAGAGCAACCTCTCTCATCTCTTTTCTTCCGTCCTGATTCCATCTCTATACCACCATTTCGACTACTGTTGTTACTCTTTCGGTACAAATTTCAGTAACGTTGCCTGATTGAACCGGGGCTTTACAGAGCGGACAGTTAAGAGTGAGAATGAAACCACATGTCGATACAACAAATATATGAAAGGCGTGATTACACTAAGGTAACACTCATCCTTCATCGCCGTCTTGTAATTCCGATAAGCAAACGGCGCATTCTACCACTGCATCCTGAGTTTTCGCGCTATAAAAAGTATAAAGAAATTGAGAATGGATTCTTAGAGATAGCTAATTTGGCATTCAATAATTACTGGACTTAAATGAAAAATCGTTTGAAGAATATTAAGCAAGAATTGCTTTCGATTAACAATGATGGTGAGGTCCATATTCCAACCGCATGCATTTAACAACTTCAAGATGACAGTGCTCCAAAGGGTGGAGTTATGATGTTTAAACCCGCCACTAATTAGGGGTAGAGGGAGGCCATGCATGAATAGATACTGGTCTCACAGAGAAGGAAATCAAGGTAATACAACCAATAAAGTTAGAGGAAGCAGAAGGCGTGGAAAAGGGAGACGCGTAAATCATGGCGGACGAAATAATTCTCAGTTATTATTATAACTAGAGAATTAGTTGACATAACAATACATCCAAGTACACATTTTATTTGCATTTGACAGTATAATGAGTTGCCTATTGTCTTCCTTTCTTTGTACTTTTTTTTTTCCCTACTTAAACAGGCTACAATTCGAGACAGGCATGTCTATGACATCACTGTGGATGACAATGTTGGAAGTTCATTTGACTTTAACAATAGTCCAATTGACTAGCATGCAAATGATGACCAATACGATTTGGATCAAAACCTATTTCCTACACAAGAATTTAGAAGTTTAAATTTGGACTTTAATATGGAATATACAGGCTACGAGTAGTGACTTGAATGTGAAAAAATTGATTTCTTGTGAGTAGTGACTAGAAAGTGAAAATTGATTACTGGTGTTGGGAAGTAACCTTTTTCCTTTCTTTGATAGCATAGAGAAAGCATAAACCTTTGTTCTTTTTTCTTGCTAATAGTATTTAATATAAGAATAATCTTATATTGATAAACTGATTTAATGCAAATTGAGACTAATTCTATTTACAAACCTAATTAGAAGACATAAAATCAACAATCCCAAAGGTTGTTTCATATATACTTTCTCAAACATCTAGCAGTATATATACTTTCATATATAATTCCTCATCTATAACAATGCACCGTTTGAAGTCCTTTGTTGCCTGTGAAAATCATATTGATTCTGCAATAGTATGAATAGATGATTTTGAAAATTGAGAGGTTGAAGAGGCTAAAAGTGATTGATACAAATCAACCCCTTTCTTCTTGCGCAAACACAATTATTTGAAAGTTCAATACTTCGACTAGGGTATGATTAAGGAAGTTGAGGAAAGGAATCATGTTTGACGGAATTAAGGAATCAAAATTGAGGAGACTAATTGTGAAAATTAGTATTAGATATAGGTAAGAAACATAAGATGAGATTTGATTTTGTGAAGGAATAGATGCACTAAGGCAAGATAACTTACGGGTTGAGAAGAATTTGAGAGTCATGGTTTGCCATTAGCACAGAAAGAAACCAAAAGGTTTTCTGGACCATAAAAGTGTTTGGTAAGGATTATCCAGGATTAACACTAACATCAGTATTATACACTGCATAAACAATTACATTCTTCTTTTTTTTTTTTTTTTTTTTTTATTAATCTTCTTTTTTTTTTTTTTTTTTTTTTTTTTTCAAGTCATTATTGATATGATATTAAAATATTACCCTTATTCCTTGTCTGTAAGTCAATTACATATATGTATATTAAAATATTACCATTTAGCATTATACAATTTCGAGGGTTTTTAATCGAGAACTGAACCAAACAAATTCAATTTTATCAGTTTCAGATAGTTATTTTAGAAATTCAGTTATCCATCAATTTGGATATATAAAACCGTTTGATTCAATTTTTAGTTCAATTAAATTTATATAACTAACTGAATTTATTTGACGTCTAAAATAGTAAATTTGTTTCAAAATAACCGAATCCAAATTGAACCAATCCATTTAATTCGATTTGATTCGGTCTAATTAAATATCACAATAGCAGATAATGATAATTGAAAGCATTCCTCAGCTTATTCCAAATCAGAAGAAGAGGAAGCTTTTAATGGTAACCGAAGTCTGAACATTTGCATTCTCACTCTGTACATTTGAAGAAGAGGAAAATGAGCATCAGCATTTATTGCTCCTACAAAGTCAATGCTACTTCTAAGAGAAGCAGTGATGAGTCATTTGTGTGTTAATTTTTATGTCACAACTTGTCGAGAACGTAGCCAAGAGATTTGACTACTTAATTTTTAATTTTTAACTTTTAATAAAAAAATATATTAAAACTATCATCAGCAAAACACATTAGCTCTCCTTGCTATCTTGTGTATTGAATAATCTAGATATTCTCGAACTTTCTCACTTTCCTTTTTCATTTTTTTTATTTTAAGAACTGGAAGTAAAATGTCCATTATGCATTTATATATTAAATACAATTAATTAATGGGACTTGCAATATTTGGCTATGTAGAAAATAGAACTGTGTAAAAAATTGAAAATATAATTATTTTTCCATGCTCAAAAACCAAAAATCAATTAATGTAATTTTTAGGGAAATTGTAGATAGAGGCAAACAAAATTGTATTTTGCCTCCAAATTGATCAAAGACATTCAGGACATTTATACTATTCTAGTTGTTTTATGACGTATGACGTTGGTTGCACGTTTATTTTACTCGTTATATATTTATTTTAACTCGTTTAATTTTTTATTTATATAATATTAAAGTATAATTTTTTATTTAGATTAAAATAAATATAATGATTAAAATAAATATAATGATTATTTTATATTGGGACTTTATTTATATAATAATTTTGTTTTCCACATGTTTTGCGCTCTTAAACATTTAATTAAAAAGAAATAATATTTTCCACTTTCTCCCTTTAAAATTCTATTTTTCTTTCCCTTTCCTTTTTTTTTTTTTTTTGAAACTCTAAAAAATGCACTTTTTATTTACATTCTTTTTAAAGTACTTGTCCATTCTAACGTGGAAAATATTATATTAATAATCATTATTATTATTTTGAAGCTATTTAACTTGAATTAATAGAACATAAATATTTAGGAGGTCTTCATCTCTTTAATTCAAATTTCCTTTTGAATTTGATTTTATATCAAACACCTATTTTAAATATAATAACTAATATTTAATATTCTGCTCATAATTCTGAGCGTATCAGTATGTATGGGTATAAATATATTATTTAAATAAATTTTATTTTAAATTGTATTATTATTTATTTTGATTAAAATAATAAAGATTAACATGTGTTTTTATTCATTTAAAATTAATGATATAAAATATTTTTTTCTTTTAATCTTTTAATTAATATACTTTATAAATATAAAAAAATAAAATGATTACTATTTAAAAAAATGATAAAACTCGTTGAAAAAAAATATATTATTACTCATTAAATTAAAAATATATTAAAAGATAATCAAAAATATTGCAATATCTAATTTTCTATTTATCATGCAACTATTTTCATTCCAATTGTTTCAATATTTTTTCTTTACTAAAAAAGACTTCAAAATGAAATAAATAAATGATAACATGTAACTTAAAAATAAATATGCAAACAATAATATTGGTAATGGAATATCATCTCTCAAGCCTACAAATAGATATATATGACATTAAATTCAAAAATTTCAAAGTCTTACATTTATTTGAAAAAATTAAAATTTTAAATATCTAATTATCTTTATATCTATTTTAATCTTTATATCTATTTTAAAAATTATTTTATAAAAATACATCCAATTATATCATAGAAAAATTAAATAAAATTTCATAAATTAAAAAAAGAATAAAA